CAAATTTGACAGGGGGAGCCCTTGCCCAGACAAGGCTCGGCAAGGGGGATCCTAGCCCAGACAAGGCTCGGCAAGGGGGATCCTAGCCCAGGCGAGGCCAGCCCTCGTCAGGCCTTAATTGTGGCTAGTGGTTAGAGAAAAGGAAAAGAAAAAAAGAAAGGACAAAAAAGAAAATAATAAAAAAACCCAAGGTCGGCCTCACAAGCCTAGGTGAGGCCAACTCTCGCCCAGGTGACGTCGCCCTAGCCTAGGCGAGGGAGCCCTCACTGGCGCTCGCCCTCGCTGACCATGGCCTGTGGCCGGTGATCGGCTACTGGCCACTAGCAAAAAGAAAAGGAAAAGAAAAAAAGAAAGGAAAAAAGACAATTATAAAAAAATCAAAAAAATTAAAAAAAAATCCATGTTAGCGCCATCCGTGCCACAGTCAGTGTCCACATAGCGATTTCATACATGCAAAAGATTTATGAGTAAATTGGTCTAATTAAAAGGTTATGACTGAATTGGTACCAGTGCAATAAGTTTAAGACTTTTTTGGTGCTTTTCCCCGATTGGAGATCCAATCAAAACTTCAAAAAAGAAGCACTTTTAGTAAAAGCACAACCGATATAGATGAATAGAAGTAATTAATCGAAATTAAAAACTATACACATATTACTATATCTTCGCCATACTCGTCGACGGAATTTTCTACATCGTCAATACACCAAATAAAAGTCCTACGAGAATCACATACCCGAGAAGTAATATATTCAAGGTTCAGGTCCCACTGCTTATTGATAATCTAAACTGCCAAGGTTTGATATTGATGGCATGACTTGGAAAAGAATTGAATATATGTCCAGCCACTATTGGGATAATGATTCTCCAATAAATTACACAATCGAAGGTAGTCGCTTTTGTACTTTTGCTTGGTCCCGTGGAGTTGCATGATTTCTTGATGCCTGACACTTGGCCAATTGGCACTTGGGTCCAAGGTTCTTTAGGACGTAAAATATTCACAAATCTCTGGAGGGTTTTTTTTTTTGTATGTTCCCAAAATCCTAGGTTTTGCATATTAAATTGTACACTAATGTCGTAGAATGAATACTGTATCTCTCTACTTATCTACAGAATCTTGTTCACATGGGTTTCCACCAATCACAACTTATTTTAGAACCCAATTCCCAAATAGAATAAAGATTTGTGGAGTGTGGAATGGTACAATTGCACTAAATAAAGTAGAGGGATGAACATAGTTTAATGCAAGAAAGCTGAGATCACTCGCATTGTCGTGGTCTGTTGTACAAATGGTCCCTTATTGAGATAGGCTACGACCAAGTGCGTAAGGCATTACGTAAAAAATAGCAAAAATTTCATGAAAACTTTTGCACTTCACGTGCATCCTGCTATTAGTCTATTCTGGGATTAAGAGTTGAATTTGCTTTCTAGGTAACCATTGTCAGAGAAATTGTGGGAGTTGATGATATCTGTCGGCTCTAGGCCGCGAATTCATTTGGTTGCACTAATCTTGGTTTTGTTACTTGAATTAGATAATTTTTTAGGATGTCTAAGAGTATCCTTTTGAGCCGTGAAAAGTTCAGGTGTCTTAGGGTTAATGTCATGGAAACATTCCATTCCTTACTTGCTCATATGAGAGTAGGTTAGTAGTTTTCATTTTGGGCAAAGGATGGTTGAATAGGTTTACCACAATGTAGTTATGCACTTTACAAGATCCAGGCAAGATTGGAGGGAAAATTGCCAAAAAAGTCCTAAACCTTTTGTATTGGTGCCAATTTAGTCATAAACCTTTTTTTTATGTCAATTCAGTCCTAAATCTTTTGTATTTGTGCCAATTCAGTCCTAAACCTTTTTGTCTTTGTGTCAATTCAGTCCTTCCGGTCAATTTTGGCCGAATTTTGCTGACGTGGACACCGGCCGGCTGGCGATCGATCACCAGCACTGACGTGGACAACTTTTAATAATTTTTTTGAATTTTTATTTATTTTTTTTTCTTTTTTTCTTTTTTTTTCCCTCCCCTTCCTCTTTCCTCTTGCCCGTCGCCAGACCGGTGACCGGCCAGAGGCTGACTAGGAGCTCGCCGGCCACTGGCAAGGCTCGCCCTCGCCAGCAACGGCGAAGGTGAACCTCGCCATGGCTAGGTGAGGCTAGACCTCGCCAAATCTGGCGAGGTCATGCCTCGCCCGGCCGCCGGCGAGGTAGACCTCGCCGCCTCGGCCTCTAGCCGGTCGCCGGTCAAGCAACCTTGGAGGAAGGAGGAAGGAAAAGAAGAAGAATAAAAGAATAAAAGAATAAATAAAAATTCAAAAAAATATTTAAAAAATTATTAAAAGTTGTCCACGTCAGTGCCGGTGACCGACCGGCGACTACGTCAGCACAATCCAATCAAAATTGACCGGAAGGACTAAATTGGCACAAAGACAAAAAGGTTTACGATTGAATTGGTACTAATGCAAAAGGTTTAGGATTAAATTGGCACCAAAAAAAGGTTTGTGACTAAATTGGCACCAATGCAAAAGGTTTAGGACTTTTTTAGCACTTTTCCCCAAGATTGGAAGTTCATCCTCAAAATCTCGAGATAAGCATTCTAAATAAGATTCACGATTAACACATAATTGTATCCTAAAAAGAATTCTATGAGGACCTAGATCTGATATCTCCAACACGGTTCTTCGTTTAACAATATTATTTCCTTCTACAAAATTTAGTAAGGGCAGTGTGTTTATCACGAACCCTAATAATCTAAACAACATCCATGAACTGTATGTTTCGAATTAGAACTCTACCCTATCTAGCAGCTTCCATAAGATATTTGACGTCACGATTTTGTTTGCATTTAACCTCTTGATTTGTAGCAGATAAGGTCCTTCTTACCTAACGAAAGGTGCATAAATTATATATAAATTGCGAAAAAAGTTAATTAAGATTCTACAATATATATAGCCAAAATACAACCAAACATGAATTAAGTGATTTTAAGCGCTGGACCACTTTTACCTAATTTTTTTTCTTTATATTCTTCCTTTCCTTTTCATTAGCTAGTTGACTCTGTTTCCACATAGTAAAGATCTTTATTCCTTCGATCCGCAAATAAGCGTGGATGGTTAACTTGGAAGCCAGCTCGCACTGTTCAGATCTGGGACTTTCCCTAATTGGCAAAGTAAAAATCATATGACCCAACACATGGGCTTTGCCAACAATCTAGGGAACTGATATCATAAGTATGATTTGCTTATGCATCTCAATAGCAAGTGGGAAGACACCCTTCTATCTTTATTATAGTTTTAGCAAGTGTCGAGGTTCACAGTATCAAGTGGTAGTGAAGATTGACACGTTTTCTTGATTTCACTTTGGGTGGACCTGATGGTTGACAGTTGCAACCCCCAACCAAACTGGCCAGCAATAGGAAAGCAACAAGTAGTGCTAAACTAGGGTTTTTTAGTTGCATGATGCTTTCTTCTTTATTCCCCCCTTGTACTCGCAAAAATCCAAAGCATGTAGCTATCTTAGCCTATCTTCTTGATTTAGTCAAAACTATGTAATAGTGGGATAAAGGTCCCTAAGGCAAGAGTCACTTTCTATAGTGATAAGCATAGACTTTGGTTTGGGTTTATTATTCTTCAATATCAAGAGGGTTGCCTCTTTGAGTTATTTAATTGCCTCTTTGTGGGAAAATTTCACTTGTTAAAGCACGCCCTACTTTCGGGACCTAGTCTTGTTTTTCCTTTCATTTTTTTTAGTGGATTTTTTAGCAGTCGCATTAATAATATAGAAACTCTTCATTTGAAGTTTGAAGCTGAGAATTAAGTATTTCGTACATCGAATACATCATTTGTCTTAGTGACGCGTGAACAAGCCAATGTGGGAGATTGTTTTAAAGAATCCAAATGCAAATTTGATTTGGATGCATATTACTAGGGCAATGTTCTTATCGATTACACTAAGCTTTAAATAAAATACTTTCCGAAAGGCCGAGCTTGTGATTAATAACATTGTTAGCCTAATATTTGGGGAAATGGATAACCCCTTAATAACTACGGGCAAACTATTGCTACTCATTTTTTTTATCCCTAAATATAAAATTGGTTGTTCGAGCATGTTGGAGTATCCGATTGATTCCCATTTGGTCATGATGGTCTACCTATCACCTTGTAATATCGTTATCACTATGCTATACTAAAGTGGCTGTAGAAAGTATTGCCTTTACAAGAATTCAAAGTCGTGACAAACCCTTTTCACAACGAGCTTGGCAATTAGTACGTTGATGGGTTCAAATCCACCAAACCCTCGTAGCAAAAACCATACATAACGTAATTCACGAGGAAATGGCGAATGCAATTACCATATTTGGTTCACCTCGATAAGGAAATTTTACTTAACGATCCCAAAAGTCAATCGCACGAGAAGAAGTTATCGGATAGCATCTCGATCCAAAGCTCATAAAATATGTTAAGAATTGGATTTTGTAAGTGGTGATTGGTGACATGCGTTCGCCAAATTCCGGCGACATTTGTCACAAGAAGACAAGGTAGGGCAGGGCACCAACACAAAAAAGAAAGGGAGGGATAAACAGGATCCTTTGGCTTCCCTTCGAGCTTGACGTATCAGCCAGCGATCTATTAGCTCTGCCTAAGAAAGATGCCGGTCGCCATCGACACGTCACCAGAACTTCCTATTTCCACGTCCCCACGAGTCCGGGGCCCTCCGCCATGGGTCGCACTCGCTCGAGTACGAGTTTTCGGTACTCGCCGCCCAGTGGCTGGCATTTGCGGACGGAGATTCCTTTGTCCGAGCTCGGACAACACCCTGATCCTGTCTTGGTTAGGCTAGACTTATTACTGCCTCGACAGGGCGAGTAACGGGGAACTCCAACACTCCCGAGCGTGGGCCTTCCGCTGAAACCCTGATCTCCACACTAAAAACCCACTAGGCGGTTTTTATAAGCAGAGAGCCGCTCCATGTTTCTTGCAAATGAGCGGTTTTTCTTGACCCAGAATTGAAAACTCCCTCTTTCTTTCTCTCTCTCTCACTGCACTTTAGTTTACTTATAAATCCCCCGTAAGTGTTTCCAGAAAAAGCTTAATTAGCCGACGTTGATACTGTCCAGGGTTTACCTCCAAACGAGTAAGCTTCCTCTAGCTTGTTCTTGCTGTTACTTTGAATTCGTTTGTGTCGTGACGCTCGTTTCTCAAGAATTGACCGTATCTATCGATCTTGAATATACTTTTCTTGTTCGCTTTTTCGCACTTGTAGCGGTTTCTTTCCCCGTATGTTTTCTTGATCTCTTGAGGGTATAGGTGACGGAGAGCTTCTTTCCTTTGCTTTTTTTACTCTACTCATCGTTGATTTGATAGATAATTGGAGTGATAAGGAAACCCTAGAGCTATTGTCGCCGGGATTAGAGAGGTGGGTGCTGGTAATCAGGATGGGGAGAGGGAAGATCGTGATAAGGAGGATCGACAATACGACAAGTCGTCAAGTAACATTCTCGAAGCGGAGAAATGGGTTGCTCAAGAAAGCGAGAGAGCTCTCGATTCTGTGCGACGCTGAGGTCGGGCTCATTATTTTCTCCAGCACTGGCAAGCTCTATGAATATGCAAGCACTAGGTTAGATACCATCACTTCCCCTTCTCTCCCTCTCTCTCTCTCTCGCTCTAATCTTGGTCACTAAGAGAGTCTTAATTTTGTTATACACACTTTCTTTTCTTGTTTTGGCCCTCGTATCTTTGTTTTCTTAGCTTTTCTTTGTCTGCCTTTCTTTTCCCCTAGTACAGTTCAGCTGATGAATCGGTGTTAATAGTTGGACTTTTCAGATCAATTGTCGGCAGCGTAATTGCATTGTGCAAACTCAGTTGATTTTGCGTTTCCTGCTTTCACCTGCATATGCCTGATGACATTCATTCTATTTTTGCAGTTTTACATCTTCCCGTCTTTTGTTGGATTGCTTCTTTGCTCGAGAAATTTTAGAAGGGCTTGGCTGGCAAACATGGTGCCAATAATCATTGCGTGCTTTCATGTATATCTATTAATTTCACGTATTTTTTACGAGAAGAAAAATGAATGGATCTTTTCGGTGCAATTGGCATAAAAAGACTGTCTTCCTTCGGTATCCCTTCAAAAGACATGTCATTCATTGCTAAAACCAAAGTAATCTGTCGCTTTGCTTTGCATGATTTGCCTTAGATTGCATCAGTCGTGTTTACGGTGAGCGGTTTTAGTAAGGAAAAATTCTCTTTTATTATTGCCACCCACGATGAATCCCTTAGTTCACTATTTGTTTTAGTGCACTACGGAGTTAAAAGGAGAGCATGATGTTTTGATCTCTCTTCTTGGAATAAATATACAAAGATTAATTTTGACTATAGGTTCACTTCTTGATCGGCTTCCTTACTTTGATTATGAATGATTGCCTGCCTTCAACTGAATCAACGATAGAGATTTGGTCCAGGAGCATATATTAATGGGTCCAACATAGCAATATATCACATTACCAAGGAGAAAAAAAATCATATTAATCATATTATTGTTCTTCCTATGGTGTGTTTTCGAACTATCTCGGATCTTTACTTATGCATCTAACAGAGAATGAAACTTTCAAGCATAACTTTTATTCACAATTCCTGTTACCATCATAAATTTTTGTTACTTGCAAGACAGTATACTAAGGCCGTTAAATTTTTTTCTATTTGATGTCAATTGTTTTCCTTTCAGAAATGATCACCATATATGTTCTTATTATTATCATATACTTTAACTTGTTTTCTAAGGGTGTACTTGGCACACTTTGTTAGTGAGAGCCTTCTCTAATTCTAGATTATATGTTGGAGTATTTTTTGGATGTTGACATGTAATCAACAGCACTAAATCATCATCAGATTTAGATTTATCTATAATGTTTAAGAGGTAGAGGTACTTAGAATTTAAGGTACGCTTCAAAGATGACTATATATTGAAACATGAAACATAAATGATTCCATATTGCCAAGAAATGACAAAAATTATAACAAGCTGCAAACAATTGCTATTTCTTAGAACAAAATTGATAGAAGCAATAATTATCTATCATACACATGGAAACATAACCTTGATAAAAGGAAAAAATGTTCGAATTCCAAAGATATGATTGATAGAAGCAATAGTTGCCCATCTTGCATATTAAAGCACAACCTTGATATCTTCTTACTGCTGCTAGGTAATCAAGTCACTTTTGGAAGTCAAAACTTCGGTCGTACATGATCACAGTAGTTTATATGTACAGTACAGCATATACATCTCTCTTCTCAAAAACCCTTTGATGACATCGATCTAGGGTGACACATTTGCTCAATCCATATCTATCTAGAACTGTGGACAAATCCTTATGTTGATCCTCTAAGCTTCTCGAAAATATCCTATTCCTTCTCGTCATATTGATCCTTCTCCATAGAAAACTAAATTCATCCAAGCTTCGTGCTTGAACATATGCTCAATGAATGCTTAATGTCTTGACTTCATTTTGTGACATGATGATTCAATCTCCTTATAGGTAACAAAATTCTTAACATCCCCTGTAACATTTTCAAAGGAAAATTTCACAATTAGTTATAAATTTATTGTATGGAAACCAATAAAGTCCTAAACCTTTTAACTGAACCAATGTGGTGCTAAACCTTTGACAGAAAATGCAATCAAGTCTTCTCAGCCAAGTTTCACTTGATTGATCTAATTGTGGCATTCCGGAAAGAAAGTGTCAAAAAAGTCCTAAACCTTTTTTTTGGTGCTAATTCAGTCCTAAACCTTTTGCATTGGTGCCAATTCAGTCCTAAACCTTTTTTTGGTGCCAATTCAATCCTAAATCTTTTGCATTGGTTTCAATTCAGTCCTAAACCTTTTGAATTGGTGCAAATTCAGTCCTAAACCTTTTTTTGGTGCCAATTCAGTCTTAAATCTTTTGCAATTGTGCCAATTCAATCTTAAATTTTTGCATTGGTGCCAATTCAGTTCTTCCAGCTAATAGCTATTCACATGTCGAAGGACTAAATTGGCACAAATGCAAAATGTTTAGAACTGAATTGGCATCAATGTAAAATGTTTAGGACCGAATTGGCACCAAAAAAATGTTTAGAATTAAATTGACACCAATGTAAAAGGTTTAGGACTGAATTGACACTAATGCAAAAAGTTTAGGACTGAATTGGCAAAAAAAAAAGGTTTAGGACTAAATTGGCATCGATGCAAAAGGTTTAGGATTTTTTTGACACTTTTCCCGGCATTCCGGTCATAGCTATCAGTCCTAAATGTAGCGGCGTTGGCATGATGTGGTCTGCTTTTCAACAAAACGACGCCATTTTTGCTTAGATAAACGGCGTCATTTCTTGGTCTTGTATAATAGCCCGAAATCAGCCTCCAAATCGCCAAATCAATCCCTCCTGCTCGAACCTAATTCCCTCGAGAAACCCCAATTCCAGTCTTGCACTCAGCTTGAATGATAGAGCCCGCAGAAACACTTTGCCCAAGGCATCTATTTCCCCATTAGCATCTTGAGTTACCACTGCAATACCCACCAAAACAATTTGGCCAGAAGAACCATAGCAAGTGGTTGCATTAACATTTAGTTTAATGGTTCCTTCAGCCGGAGGGCTCCAAGAAACGACGCCGTTTATCTAAGCAAAAACGGCGTCTTTTCATTGAAAATCAGTTTGTGTTAGGTTCATGTCAGGCCGTTGCCATTACATATCAAATGGTCGGCGATGACTGGACTATCACGTCAGATAAATCAATCAAGATTTAGCCTAGAGGACTTGATTGTATTGTCACTCAAATGCTTAAAACTACATTGGTTCAATCAAATGTATAAGAATCGATTGGTTTTCGTTCAATAGATTTAGGGCTGATTGTGCAATTTTTCTCATCTTCTCCGCTCTCTTGATCTTATTCATAAACTTTTCAACGGGAATATCCTATCTCTTATAAATTCCAAAACCTTTTGCTCTTCTGTTGACATAGAGTCATAAAATTGACTGCTTTTCCATTCATTTTTTTAATGGCATTAATAAACTGTCTTTCTGCTATTTCATTGATCCACTCGTATAAAGTTTTCTTAATTTTCAAGGTTTTATCCAAATGACTTTAGGAAGAAGATAGGCCTATTGCTTTGAAATCCCAAGACCTTCCGCTCTTCTCTCGAAATATGGTCATGTCTGACTGCTTCTCCATTTTCATCTGTCTTACAGCCTCGATGAATTTCTTCATGCTAAACCATTGATAAAAGATGTAACTTCTACTATCTTTAGTATTGTTCAACCCTCCCAAAGATGCATAACTTTCATTAAATACATTATGATAGAATAAGTTCTAGCATCAAGTATCCGACGTGGCGGTACCGCCCTACTGGTATTGGAGACGGGTGTATGGGCGTGTAGGACTGTCACATTGACCCAGTTTTTTGTTCTCTTTTGAATAGTACAAGGATAAATGAATTCATATTGAACTAGTTTTATTCTTTTTGAATGGATGGAAGTGAAATAACTAGTTTAACTTCGGATTTTTAACATCACTTACTGACCATAGGAATCAGCATAAATATCTTAAGATTTTGCGTTGAAGTTTTATGGAGGAAATTGCCTAACCAATCCTAAACCTATTGTACGAATGTAATTTTAGTCCTAAATTTCTTTTTCCAATTTAGTCCTTAACCTTTGCGCGAAATTCCAATGTAGTATCGGAATGACTACATTGGAATTTTGCGCAAATGTTTATGACTAAATCGGAAAAATGAAAAGTTAGGACTTGATTGACATTCGTAAAATGATTAATGACTAATTGGACAATTTCATCAAGTTGTAAGAACACAGAACACTGTACCACCAACTTGTGTCATTGCCTTTATGTCGGTTCTTTGTGTCATTTCATTTAATTAAAAAAATATTAATGTGATGATAATTTTTTAAAACATTAATAATGGGTCAAAACATGCAAAAGTGTGCTGGTTCCAAGGTACGTCGCGTTCGGTTGCATCATATTTCAGCTCTATAAATTTGTGTCTTATCAAGTGATGTTGTCCACTCATTGTAAGCTATTGAACCCTAGAACTACTCATGATTTTGTGAGAAGGATGACAGATCCATGTGAGGAACATATACCTTTCACGTCTTAATAACCTCACACTAGTCTGCATAATACAACATAAGTATTTGATTCCTAACTGGAATAGAATGGTTAATAAATCTGGAAAAAGCATGCAAACTCGATAACCTCTTGTGTTATGATTAAGTCTTGCTTTATCATGCTTTGTACACACAAGGTCTTCTCTTGAGAGATTGTTAGATAGAGTAAGTTTCATGTGCATCACAGCTCTGATAATGAGTTCAATGACAGACTCCAACTAAGTCCCTCCTTGGTGGTTCTTTGGAGCATGTTGTTTGCTGCTTTTAAAAAAGCTGAAGTAGCGCCATGACAAAGGGTTTGATGAACCTAAACTAAAAAAAGCATGCAGAAGATGAAATAGTTGTAGGGTTGATCTTGAAGTGCTCATGGATATTTTTTTACAACTTAGTTGTTCCATTAGGACGTTCCTCTTTCATTATTTTTCATTACGTTCTTCGACTGTGGTCTGTGATTTTTGAAAAATCACAGATCTTTTTTTATTGTTTCAATCGGTAATTCCTAATGCTATACTGAGCTAATGTGATGATGCATTTTAAGATCGGATCATTAAATAAACGGGTCATATTCATATTCATCGTTCATGGAGATCCAGTTTACTTTGCGTTAGGCAAGGGGTTGCCCATGGGTGTTGCTATGGAACACTATGTGTCAGTGTGTCATCCTTACAGACCAAGTGCAGCAACAATTCTTGCGTTTTAATGTGCTTGGAAAAGTTCAACATAATTCGTGCAGAAGCTGCCGTTGCAGCTGATCTTTTATAGCCGAGCATGCAGCTAGTGTAGTGCTTTAATATGCCTCTTTTAAGCAAGAGGCTGAGAAGCCATTTACTTGCTTGATCGACCTTAGACATAACATTGAGCTGTTAGATGGAGATTTAGTGGCCAAATATTAGTTTTGGAGATTACTCCATAACAGATACCAACCGATCAATTAATAGTAAACATATTCACAATATAAGGTTTATTGCATAAATGGGATGCCACGCCTCGAGTGACCGACATATTTCCATTCTGCCAGCCCGGCTAAACCGAGTTAGTCCGTAATTAGTAATTGTTGTCACATGTCAAGCCAATTTTTTTTTTTAATGAATTGAATATGACATCAAAAGTTTGACCATGTTGGTTCTTCATTAGGACACTTAGGCAGTCGAAAATGTTCTGCGGCATGATCCAATGTTTTCTTTGACATTGCATTCAGCTGTCAAACTCTCCCATGAACCTAGCCAAAGGAAAAGGTAAAGCTGCAGAAGATATCATTGCTAATAGCTGTGGACAAAAACATAGATTAAGTAGACGAACAGACGAGAAATATGGATTTTGACAAGAAAGTAGGAATTCCAAGACCAAATCTTGGCAGAAGCTTTTGGTAGGCCACATAACATTCCAGAAATACTTCAGCTCTGTAATGTTGCATTCTTATGGTTTGCATGTAGCCGTAGCAATAATATAACAACGCATCATAATTTTCAGCGAGTATTATGTTACTTTACTGTTTTTTGGTTCTTGACAGCGTGACTTCTGTAGTTGAACGTTACAAAAAGCTAAAAGAGGAACAATATCAACTTCTCAATCCAGCTACAGAAGTCAAGGTAACACTCGAGTTATTCTTGTTAGCTTTCTTGTATCAGAAGAGATATTTCTCCATTTAGCTAATACGTCTTGATCTTCTAGCAACTCATCTAGCAACCCATTATCACGTCCCATTCATGTGTTGCCTTTTCCTATATGAGTTACTCTACATCATTTGTGCTAGTTACATTCAAAGTCATCTGTCCTCAATGCATTAGTAAGGGTTCTTCGATTTAAGTGTTCTATTCATACGACAGATGGATTTTTACATGATTAAATCTAGATGCTCCCGTGATCATTTGTATCACACTAAGAAGAATGATTTCCTGTTTATTTTCACTAGTTCTGGCAACTGGAGGTAGCACGCCTGAAGCAACAACTGCAGCATTTGCAAGAATGTCACAGGTATAACATCCCATATGCCTGAGGGAAATTTTTGAAGTGGCACGTCTCTTATGCCTAAGAAAACAGAATTAAGAGCAGCGACAAAAGTGTTTCATCTAGTGGTCTTGCTAGAATAACAGGAGGCTGGCATAGACTTATGTGACCAATGTTTGACTGTGCTAAGAAGAATGGACGCAGGTTGACGTGAAATGAAAGAGTGCAAACTATAGATGGATAATGCCCCGTTCCTGAGAATTCATTTCTTACTGAAATGAGGATATGAAAAAAAAATAAGTTGTCACTTGCACCAATATCTTTTTTTTTTTTTTGGTCGAAAACTTGCACCAATATCACAAGATGCAAAATGTGCACTGAGATATAACAGATTGCTAAGTAGATGATGCCCAACTCAAGATTTCAAAGACAAGACTTACGGTAATTATTGGATAATTAAGTTCAAGGGTACTTCAATCAATCCGAGTCTGAAAATGCATCAAACCAAAAGTCAACAATGTGGACTTCTTTTCTTCATTCCACATATGCAGGCAATTCATGGGACAAGAACTATCTGGTCTCAGTGTGAAAGAACTACAGGATTTGGAAAACAAATTGGAAATGAGCTTGAAGGGTATTCGTGCGAAAAAGGTGTGACCAATTTCCTTTTTGTGCATCCCTGCTCAACCCCTTATTGGCTCCAAGTCCATTGAATTCTGCACCACATGCATGCATACTTACATAGCTGTATTGTTTCCCCATGCAGGATCAAATTCTGATCGAAGAAATAAGAGAACTTAACAGACAGGTTTTTACAGAAGTTTGAAATCTCCTACCCAAAAACTCTTTTCCACCGATTTCACATCAAGTAGCACTAATTCAATTTATTTCAGGGAGCTCTCATGCATCAGGAAAATAGAGAGCTGCATATGAAGGTGGATCTCACTGGCCACGAAAACACAGAACCACAATACAAGGTACTAATTAGAGAGCAAAGAACTTTTCCATCTTATAAAATAATTCCATGAAGGGAAATTCTAACATATACACTACAACAATCTTATCCATAAAAAAAAAAAAATCTAATGAACGCCTAATTTCATCCATAACCCTATGCGACTTACAGCCAAAGAAAACCTCTGGGAGTCACAACCAACTTAGCCACATCAAGCCATCTGTCTGCATATCTCGATCTCTGAGTTGTGCTGCAGTATCAGTCGGTGTAAAATAAGTTGGACTATGCATTATTTAAACTATATTTTGGCTAAATAAAAATGATGCTTTGGTGTCAGGTTTACAGGGCAAGTGATGTGACTCAAGCAAACAGTTGCCACAAATCATACAATACATGTGATGTGTATGGCTCACATTCACCAATAAATCTCCAGTTAAGCCAACCGAGGCCTGAATATAGCGAAAAACCAGAAAAAGTGACAAAACTGGGGTAACCTAGAATTCCAAAAGCGCAGCTTTAATCTTCATAGCCATAGCATTCCGTAAAAAGGATCTTTTACTATTTACTTTTGAAATCAGATTGCAACTACAATAGCAGCACTTTGTGGCTAAGGGTGCTAGAGAGACATTCATCACCATCAGTTAGCAGAGCAGAAACTACAGCCAAGCTTCCATGAGTGAGATATAGTATTTGACCTTGAAAGATATCAGTGGATGTACCTTGAGGCATGGTATAATTCTATGATGTCCCTTTATTTCTGATTGCTCTGAATGGAAATCAGCGCTATGTATGATTATATTTGCGAAATAAAGGAAGCAACTTTTTCATTGAATTTCCTACTTATTTCAAGCTTGTTGGGATCTATGAATGGATGTTTCTGGTAGATTATGCTGCTGTTCTACCTATTTTTTTTATACATTTGAATACAGAGGAACAAACTGATTTATGAGAAATGACGCAGAGCCTTGGTGCAAACGATAAAGTTGTCACCGTGTAACCTGGAGGTCATGGGTTCGAGTCACAGAAACAGCCTCTTGCAAAAATTGCAAGGTAAGGCTATGTACGTTAGACCCAAAGTGGTCTGACCATTCCCCAGACACCATGCATAGTGGGAGCTTCACCGATGTGCTGCCCTTTTTAAATAAGGAGAAGAAACTTCCTCTGTAACCAAAGAAGGTGCATACATTTGCATGGAGTTAGCGGTTCACTAATTTGGACAAAGCAAGTAAAACAAGCCAATAAAAGGAAACTGCAGTGAAAATCAATTATAAATTTATGAGATCTTCTCAGTGAAGAAATGTAAACCACCGTGACACAATAAATTGCAAATCAATATACAGTTGGAAAATCCTATTAAAGCTGCTATAGGAAACAATGGTAAAAAAATTACGAGTGTATAAAGAGTTCAACTATTTCTAAAGCATTGCTAAATCATGTACCTTGTCTCCAGGAACAAACAGCAGACTCCATGTGAGGGTGCATAAGGCATCCATCTGGTTTTGGAAAGGAAAAACAGAGGAGAGAGTGAGGCCATGAGAGCGAGATCTAACGAGACAGAGAGTGAGGGAGCTCCTTCGGCAACCGCCGCATCCACTCTGTGGCCGTCAAACCCTGGACGTCGCCCTTTTTCTCGCACCAAGCCTCGGCTCGTTTGGGTTCGCCTGTGTTTTGTCGTTGTTTGATTTTCGGGTCGTTTTCCTGAGGATCTCGGCTTGGCGGCACTAAGACGGTCGGCTATTGCTCGATTCATTGAGATCGTCTTCCGGTCGTTGTCGCCAAGCTAGGTAGGGACCACGGTTGAGTCTCGCCCGAGCTCCGGCCAGCACCCCTGTTTTAGGCCCTTGTTTTTGCCCTGTTTTGGGCGTCTCGGGCCGGAGCTCAAAGCCGTCCGACTTGCGTGAGCTCTGGCCCACGTCGCCCTTATGTTCTGTTTTGGCATCCGTGTACATTGCGTGTTGAGAGTCTTGGCTCGGATTTGAATCTCCGTTGAGCTGAGGATCTATCGTTTTTGAAGCGCCCGTTACTTATTTGTTGAAATGCCGAAACCATATCCAGTTTTATCCTTTTCGTTTTGGCCGGCAGTGTCGGGGTCGGCGGAGGAACGACGGCCTAGGTGGCGGTGTCGTCGTCGGAGTGGCCGTGTTAAGGCTAGGCATGGAGTTTGAAGTGGCCAGGTTTGGCCGAGTCGAGCCTCGGCCAAGCTTTGGGCCTGAGGTGGCCAAGCCGAGTCTCGGTCGGCGGCTGTGCCTGGCCAGACGTCTGGCCAGGTGGTGGCCGAGGCGACACTGCCTTTGTCAAACTCCCGAGAGGCACAGGGAATGTCGAGAGGGAGTTGGGTCTGCGGGCAAGGCGAGAGCGGAGTCGGGCGACGAGCTGGACCCGGTTTTTTTTTTTCTCGTTTTTCTTTCTTTTCTCCGATGGGCTGGGCTGAGATAATAGAATTAGGTCTTGGGCTAGGCCTGTCGTTTTTTTTTTAATTTTGGTCGGTGAGCCCGGTCCAGCGATAGACCTGAGTCGGCGTGCCCGGGTCGGTCCTGACCCTGGTCCGTTTATATTATTATTTTAATATTAAAAAATAATGGAAAATTAGTAATCGGCTAAGGAAATTGCCTTTTCTTGCCCTTTTTGTGTGATTAATGACATGCTTGATCGCACGTTGTTTGGTTTGCATATTTGAATTGCGTGTTTAATTTAGTCTTATAGGTGGATGTTTGGAGGCTTGTTATGCCGTTGTTTGCGCACTTCTGATGTATTGATTGTTGTTTCCTTAGACTGGTTAGGACTAAAACCCTAGGATTCACAATTGATAGGAAGACTGCACGAACACTTTAGGTGGTGTTTAAGCGAGGTTAGGTACCGAAAGAGCACTAGTTGTGTAACTAGTGTAATTAAGTCCCGGAACTCTTAGAATCTCTGGTTTGTAGGAGTAAGGCGATTCTTTCGTCGCCTTACTTGGGTTTCTAATTGACCCACCCTAAACTGATTAGTAGTGATTCCTAGATAAAAATGATTTACATGTTAATAACTTGAATCTTAAGTCACGATTTGGTACGAGTTTGGGAGAGCTCAAGTTAAGTCCTAGTTTAGACTTAATAATCCATTAGCCTCAAACCTTTGGGGGCTTTAGCCACCGCGGGGAGGTCACAACACTCGTGTAGACCATTCTCTTCTTTCAATGCCTCCCTACTCCTCGATTCACAGGGCATTGAGAAGTTGGAAATCTATGATGCCAACCTCGTTGTCCTCCACACTTTCGCTGACACAAGCATTGGGCTTAATATTGACCTCCCCAACGAGCCCCTTTTCTCTGCCACATGCAGCCTTTTCTTGAACTTTGAAATCTAAGAACACCTTATGGAACCTCGAACTTCCAAGTGAGAAGCTTCCAAGGATTTCCTATGAAATCCTCCATGTTCATTCCACCATTATTAGCATCCCCCTGGTCTTTTTGCCAATATGTATTCCTAATTCCATACTTCCTTTGCTTTCGAACTGCCACCGTGTGGGGTTGAAATCCCCAGTTTGGCTCCTTAAGAGCCTCATCAGGGACAAGCCGTGGTCCATCTTTGCCCCACCATTCCCTCAGCCACCCTTGTCACCCAGCCGTTGCATTTCGGAGCTAAACTGGGTGGATTTGTACCCCCTTGAAGCATCCCGTTCGGAATCTGAGGATGTGCTCGTCACCATCGACTCTGCCATCGGCTAGTTGTCTAGTGTGGCAGGGCATGAGGATCGTGTAGTTGATGTAATTGTTTTGGCTTGAGAACTCGCTAAACATGTCTAGCTTGTCGTCTCGGGACAAGCTGACGATGCGACAATTGGACATCCATCTCGAGAACTTGATAGCCCAAGGCGGTTGGTCCGTGGCCGGCGACGATATGGAGGACGATCTTTTTGTGGGGCTTGTTGGGGTTGCCAATGGATGTTTACCTTGTCTTTGTGAGTTTGATCTTTATTAGAGTGAACGCAAGACAACCTTTTCTCAATGCCTTCCGACTTGAGGAGTAGGGAGGTGTATAAAGAAGAGAATGACCTGCAAGAAAGAAAACAAAGAAGGTTTGCAAGAGCTAAGAGCATAGACAAGTGTGGAAATAAAGAAAAATAAGGAAAGTGGGACCCGCAAGGGAAAAAAAGAAACAAAATAAAAAGGGTTGAATAAAAAAAAAAAAAAAGGGTATCATTTTTGCATTAGTTTTTTTTTGGGCGGGGGCGAGCTCGGCGGGTCGCCGCGGGGGGGGGGCCGGCGCGACGCCCCCCCGGGGGGCCGCCCTCCCCCCGGGGCGCCCCCGGGGTATAGCAGCCTCGCCCTCGCCTGGGCGAGCGAGGCGAGCCTCGTGGAAAGAAAAAAAAAGTAAAAGAAAAGAAAAAGCTAAAAAGACGAAAATGCCCATGGACAATGTATATCGAGGTAAATGTGTCACAAATAACAAAGTTTGGGGTTTTGGTGTCAAAAAAAGTTCGAGTAAATATGTCACAGTGGGAAAGTTGGGGTTTTGGTGGTTTTTCCTAAAAAATATCATTTTGTAGAGTTGTAACACAAATGTTGGGCCCCACAAGAAATAGTACGAACAAAACACAAAAGTTACAGAGCTAAGAAGGAGGATTGGAAAAAATGGTGCCCTTTTCAAAATTCTAACAAGTGGGATCCATCTACTGGAGCAGATCTTGACAGAAGGTCTTAGGACTACAAAATATTTTATAAAAGGGGAGTCAGAGCATAATTTTGAAATTAAAATAATTCTCTCTTTGCCGGAAAGAATGAAATAACTGGAAAAATGATTTCATTACATCTATACCTACATACATTAATGTAAACTAATGATATTGCATTAATTGATGAGCGAAATCTCTTAGTAATAAAAATAAAACACGAAGTCATTATTTTTAGAAGACAAGTTAAACTTAAAGGACTTGATTGTTTGGACTTATGGAAAAGGAAAAAGGTTATTTACCGTCAAGATTTAAAATCTTATTAAAGTATTTTGAAGAATATGACACAATTATATGTGAATATTTGTGTCAAGAGCTGCGTCTTGTGAAAGTTTTAGTAGTTTCAAATTAAAGCAAAGTCAAAATACATGAATCTCGAGATTTAAATAAAAAAATAAAAAGATAAAAGTCAATTCAGACAGTTCTTCGATTAAAACATAATTTTATGAAAATCAAGTCAAATAGTATAAACAAAGGATACGTGAGAAGTGTATGGAGTTACTATTTTGACTCTCGCTCGTGACCATGCAAAATCAATCATAAGAAATCTGTATCGTATATTGCAAGCCCATGTAACTATGTTCGGGTCAGTTTTGATACATGAAAAGAAGAAAAAAATCAGGACAATTTTGGTACATGAAAATTTTCTAAATTCCTTCATTCTTAGCTATAAAATAGGATAAGAGGAAGCCATCCGCGTTAACAATAAGAACTTTAAATATGTTCTGGTCGTTGGTGATGGACGTCTTGAAAGTTGAATTATCGAATGTGAGTTGGTATGTGATTGATCCATCTTTAAATACGTAATTATCACTTTATACTCATTCCATCATTTAATATTTTATCTTTTGCCAGGTGGAATGTCCATTGCTACATTTATCTTCATTTTTCAATAAAGAAAAAGTGGGAAGAAGGTGCGAATTCTCTACTGTGTAGTTCACCAGCAACCATTTCTAGGGTTTGTAATGAACTTGGATGATTTCCCGAATACATATGAAGTGTCATAACCTATTTTCTTGAATAATTTTTACAAGATAAATCCATCAGCAGTTGGCAAATATTGTTTACACAAATGTTGCCATCTCATATTTACACCACACTAGCTCATTTAGTGGGCGACACATGTCGCTCTTAGGCCCACCTGTCATAAATTGGCAAAGACTCTTCCCTCTCTCTTCATGGTCTCTCTCTCCCACACCTGACTCACACTCTCTATTGTCTCTCCCTCTCGACTTACAACGAAAACTTATAAGAGAGATAAGGGGCGATATGAAAATATGAAACAGAGGCGGCGGCGGAGACAACGGACAAGGTGGGGGTGGCGATGTGGTTCGCCGGCGAGGGTTGCCGGAGTTCGCCGGACATTAGGCATGGCCAAACCTTCTTCAGATGTCTTGACCGAGCCAAGTCCAAGCAACTCCTCCTCCATATCTCGGCCAAGCCACGGCCAAGCCTTCTTTAGATCTCGGCTAAGCCATGGCGGAGCAACTCCTTCTCTAGATCTCGATTGAGCTATGGCCGAGCCTTTAGAAAAAGATGCCACCAGGGTCGCGAAGCTCTCGTTCGGCCTCGCTCAGATGCGGGCAAGGCACTAGCAGTCATGGGCGAGCCCGCCTTACCCAGATTTGGGTGAAGCGAGCCTCACGATGGCCTGCAAGCCGTGAGTGAAGGCGGCCTTGCCAGTCGCTGGTGAGGCCATTGCCACCGGTGAGGCCATGGCCGCCTTCGCCGCGGCCTCACTTGAGAGAGAGATCGTGAAGAAAGAGGGGAGAGACTTTGCCAATTTTTGACAGCT